GACACATGTAAGCTGAGATGGAAGCGGGACAAGTTTGGGATGGCATACCTCGTCCCAAATCTGTCCAGTTAACTTTGTGTTATTTTCCAAACCCGACTACTAAGTTTTGACATAGAATCCCAAACCCGACTACTAAACCCATCCTGCTGGAGTGATTTTTAATAAACAAATGTCTCACGTTAAATACATAATAAATCATCTCAAATTTCCAAGCGTAATCATTTATTTGGAATTCACGCATCGTGGATCTCCAAATTGAAAAGATTTGAGAAAATGATCAAGATAAATTATCGTAGCAATCTAGAATCCAGCAATCCTAATATAAGAAGTCAGTTACTGAAAATATTAGGCTATAATTAACTTTGTTTTGGGATCATGTATATTTACTAAATAACCTAAGGACTCTAAAGGAAATAAAGGAATTTTAGTAATTAATACATCACGATTAGGTACTGGTTTCCTTACTATTAAATTCTAAAGCCATAGGGTTTTTTTTTAGTTGATCCAAAACCGTGCTACTACTTGAAACCCTAAATCATTTACGTGCATTATAGTTTGGGTGGGTCGGATACCCAATTATACCCGACCTTAGACGTGAAAATAAGGTAACATAGCAATTATATGGATACAGGCAACATGGATGAAGCCCTAAAGAGGCTTGTTTATTTATCTAAATGTTAATGGGTCTTGTTAACGAATGTCCCCAGGGCACTCATGAATTTATACAATAAGGAAAGGTTTTGATTTTCAATGCAGTGTAGTACACATAACATGAGAAAAACCGTCGTTCAAAATTATAATTTTGTTTTAAGTAGGGGTTTAACCATTAACAAAATCCTTCCTAAAATTGCCATTCAAGCTCAAACAATCTATTTTTTCCAAAAAATCCAGAGCTTTTAATGCCGAATCAAACAAAAGCACCACAAAAGCGCACGCAAGCTGCTCTTGGAAATTCCCATCATAAGCACAAACCAAGGAAAAGCAGTTCTCACAGCCTACATACTAGAATAGTATGTAATTATTGCGGGAAAAAAAAAAGAATAGTATGTAGTTGAAGTGGTTTGCATGTTATTGATGGAGTATTGAAGTACATTTAAGAATGAAAGTAAATGTATCAATCACTATACATATACATATTCATTTAAATATACATATCTAAAATCCCTGAAGGTGTTGAACCTAAAAGAGTAAGAAAGAATTCAAGCCAAAAACAAAATGGGTTCACACTGAAGCTTCCTACTCCGTGTGACACAATGTGGTCGTATCAGACCAATTCCATCAAACAGATTTCTATGTGTTTGTTTTACTGTGACTTGAAAGCAACCCCAACCAAAAGTCTCCATACTTGGTTAAGAGTTAAAATCCAGACTAAGAGTGCATCAGAGAGCTTTCCCCATATATTAAAAACTCCATTGCAGTACTAGAAGTGGGGTTATCTTTCTTTTTGGGTTAAGCAAAACAGTTTTGCTCTCTGTCTTCACTCATTCTTCTGTGACATATCCCCAATCCCACTTTAAGCCTTTCCAATCACGCCAGAAGTTAAGGCAGTTTGGACAAATTTCGTGTAACAACTGTATCACATTGCGTTAGCATCGTAGTATCACGCATCCAATCAAACAATAGCAATCTTAGTAGATACATTTGGATGAAAACATTTGGTCCATAATAATACATCAGCATGATGCGTACCGTATATAAATTAAATGTAACATAAAAGAATTCTAATTTCTTCCCACTTGCCCAAAAGTAACTATTCCATTGATTGATGTCTATAAATCGAGGCCTTACGGATGCGAAGTTCCAAGTAATTTTGTTGCAGTTGTCTCCACTTCCCAATGCAACACACCTATTTTTTCTCTCTTCGTCTTCTTCTTCCTCCTCCTCCGCCTCCTCCTCCTCCTCCTCCTCCTTCATGATTCTTCCATTTTTCCATTGCCGAGGCTCTCTCGATGGTCACATTGCATGTGGCACTCTTAAGCTCTCTCTCCATCTCCTTGTCATTTGCTATCTGTTTTTTATGTTGTCTGTGGCTTGAAGAAACAAAAATTACTTCGGTTTCGTTGCTGCTATACGTACAGTGTCTTATATTTTTATTCCTAGTAGCATATCTAAAGCGTTAATTCTGCAGGTTTTGTTGAGCGGTCATATTGACCTGCATTCAGAATTATTTATATTCCCCTCTGCCTTCCAGTCCGTTTTGGTTCTTTTTATGTGAGCGTCTCTCTCTGTCCATTTGCGCTAGCCCTAGAGGGGGAAAAACATGTGCTCCACCAGCAAATCTGCTGGAACTATAAGCAGTGACCATTTTGATGGCGTAAAGGAGGAAGAAGAAGAAGAAGAAGAAGAGGAAGAAGAGGAAGAGGACGGCAATGACGGTGAGAGTGATAGTGAAGAAGGAACAATGAGAGAATCAAGAGAGGGCAGATTCTTGCACGGGCTTTCGCGTAGATTCCCGATCATTGCCGCTCTCCAAAAGCTTCCCTTGAACCAGGTGATCATCTAATTATTTACGTAATATTACCATCTCTCCTTGTTCTTCTTCTCTTTTTTTTTTGGGAATGATGAGGAAGTGTTTGAAGTTCTGCATTGGTTCTTGCATGTACGATGAAGAGGGTCATTTGTTTTCTTGAGGTTTCTGCCGTTCATAGGGCATCAAGAATGATCTTCTTCTTCTTTTTTTCTTTTTTCCTTTCAAAAGAGAAAACTCTCTCCCTGGATTTTGCCAATTTTGTTTGATGTGTGACAAATGACAATGACATTCTTGGGTTCGACCAAATTCGTGCGAGAAAATGGGGAAATTGAAAAACGAAAAAAGTAGAAGAAAAAATTGAAATTATTTGGCATTTGGAAAGAGTAAAAGTTAAGACTGGGTAGGTATAAGTATCTTCCTAGTGTTTTGATTTGATTGATTTCTTGAAGCTATCATTTTCATGTGGGTTTGGAGCCAATTGGAATCCACGTGCATCCCACCAGCCTATGCCCAAGGGGGAACGATGCAGTTAAAAATCTTTTTCTACTTCTATTTTTTATTCTTTTTTTTGCTTATTAATGATATTATTTTTTGTGCCAAAAAAGAAGAAGAAGAAGTACTGCTTCTTACGACCAAAAAAAAAAAAAAAGAGTACTGCATCTGTTTTCTGTCTCTAACATCTGCAGATTTCAAAGAGATAGAGCTATAGGAGACAGCTCGATTCTTTTCTTACTCTAAAGACTTCTTCAGTTCTTCCTTAATCTTTCCCCGAAAAAGTTCTCCTTTTTTTTGCCCCTATGGTAGTGATGGAATTTCGTCGTACCGTAGAAACAAAAGGTTTTGTCAAAACGAAACAGATTTTTAATTTCAAAAGACATGAAATTTGAGTTATAGAAATCGTTCAAATGTTCGTTTTGTGTTCTTTAAAGGCTACTTTTCCAGTTACAATCAACCTTCTTTTTTATAATTTAAATGTGTACTTAGCATGTAATTAGTTCGATCACTGAGAAGAATGCTTCGATGAGAAAAGGCATGAAATGTGGGGGCTTTCTTGTTTCTACAACCCTCAAAAGTGTTCCGACTCGAAAGTGTGGAACGATGACTCAAATTAAGTTAGCTCTCGACATTAGGACATGTTTCAACATTTCAACATCCTTGGTCAAATCAACATTTCAACATTAAACTCATATTGATCATTGTTTTACTATAATATCAGTATGTCACATTGTCAATTCTAAAAGTCTGGAGTGCCAAACTCCATACCTCTTAATTTTCTAGCTCCATTCAGTTTCACATCTCATTCCACTCAAACGTAATTGCAAGTCATCATATCACAGGAGAAAGTACTTATTATGATTGATTGTTCAGCATATTTATTCATTGATGTTTGTTAGATCTATCATCAGAGTGAAAGAGAACTAAGCAGCGTTGAATTGACCACGCAACACGCTCACATGTAGAATCGACATTCATCTATCACGCTTTAAAATCTTTAAATTTATGCTAGTAATGATGGGCCAAACATCATTCCTTTTCTTTTGAGTCTAGCAATTCTGTGGGCATAGATAGCCTGCCTAAAATCCCAACGATTCTGTGGGCACACATAGACTGCCTAAAATCAATGTTAGGCTCGCGGATTCCCCAACTCAATATTACTCTTACAAGTCCTAACTCTAGTGTCAGGGTCCGAGTATTTAGGACTGAGTTGCAAGAACCCTATAGGATCTCGTGCAGGTTTTAGTTTTCGTCATTGTTAACCTAATCTCCACTCTATAGTTGGTATATGCTAGCTAGTTTCTGTGACAAATTCCAAACATCGATGAAATTTAACACATAGTCTTAAATGTTATATATATGTTTCCCAAACGAGTCGGATAAAATTTAATAATATTCGGCGGATACGATTTACTTAGTGTCCTTTGTACCTTGGTGTGATCTCAAGTTCTCCTCTTTTGCTAGAGAGAGCCAATTTTCAATTTTTTTTTTTGTGACAAGAACATTAAATTGATTTGTTGGGTGATCAGCATTCATGTCAAAGGCTCGACCCTTCATGCCAAAGGGATCAACTCCTATGTTTCAGAGAGCTTGTATTTGAAGTGTCTAATATATATAGAGATTAACCCTTAGGTTGATCATTTATCAAAGCATTAAGTCATATTCTAACTAAATATGATAGTTCTGGTGAATCTACCAGAACTAGAAGAGACCTTCTCCTTCTTTCTTATTCGACTCTTCGGTTTTGAGAATGCTAGCTTTACCTTGGAAATTGAGATGGTCAACCTTTATTGCTCAAGAATAAAAATAAAGGCCAAGATTTATCTACAGTTTCATATATAGTTATTTGTACAAGAATAATCTCTTAGCGATGTCCCTGGGATGAGAGAATGTGCTAAATTGCTATTGAAACTAGATGGTGCACTTGTATGTCCTCTATTTTTCACATTCTTGGTTCGATTTGGTTCAACACAGCTCAGCTTAGTACTATGGCCTTGTCTAAAACTTCATTGTTATGTACTGTTTCTTTGCATAGCCATTCCAGTATTACATATGTTTATGTATTGTGATTGAGTTGGTTAAAGTAGCAGTACTACCGGGACTTCTAATATTGTCATTAACATTGGCAATTTTCCCTGGAAAGTCTTTACAGGCCGGAGAGGAATTACAGTCGCTCATGAAGATTGCGTGCCCGATTGTGATGACCACGCTGCTCATTTTCTCGAGGTCGGTGATTTCCATGCTCTTCCTGAGCCACCTCGGCAAGGAGGAGCTGGCCGGCGGGTCCCTAGCCCTCGGCTTCAGCAACATCACGGGCAACTCAATCCTGAAGGGCCTTGCAATAGGCATGGACCCAATTTGCGCCCAGGCCTTTGGGGCCAAGCGATGGTCGATCATGAGCCAGACGTACCAGAAGACCCTATGCCTGATGCTCCTTGTGTGCGTCCCTATCTCGGCCCTCTGGCTCCACATGGAGTCGATCTTTGCCTGGCTCGGCCAAGACCCAGAGATCACCCACATTGCCCAGGTCTATATGGTGTTCTCAATCCCTGAGCTCTTTGCCCAGGCTTGTCTCCATCCATTGAGAATTTTTCTGAGGACTCAGGGCGTGACCACACCCCTCACAATAGCCTGTGTCTGGTCAGTGATCTTGCACTTGCCCATAAACTACTTCCTGGTGGTCTACTTGGGCCTCGGTGTGAAGGGTGTGTCTCTTGCCCTTGGTTGGAACACCATTAACCTCAACCTCGGCCTACTCATCTACCTTGCTGTATCAAACACGACCCTGAAGCCGTGGCACGGGGCCGGACTCCCCTCAATCCTCCAGGGGTGGCGGCCGCTCCTGGCCCTGGCCTTGCCGAGCTGTGTCTCAGTGTGCCTCGAGTGGTGGTGGTACGAGATCATGCTCTTCCTCTGCGGCCTGGTCAACAACCCTAAGGCCTCGGTCGCGGCGATGGGAATATTGATTCAAACGACCGGGTTGTTGTACACGTTCCCATTCGCACTTAGCTCGGGCCTGTCCGCACGCATAGGGCAGGCCCTAGGTGCCGGCCACTCGTCCCGAGCCCAGCTCATATCTATCATCGGGATTGCTGCAGCAGTTGCCTTCGGGCTCACCGCCCTCATCTTCATGATTGCCATCCAGCCGGTGTGGGGACGGATCTACACAGACGATCCGCAGGTCCTCAAATTGGTCTCCACAGCCCTACCGATCCTCGGCCTTTGTGAGCTTGGGAACTCCCCTCAAACCGCATCATGCGGGGTCCTGACAGGGACGGCCCGGCCCAACGTCGGGGCCCGTATAAACTTGTTCTCGTTCTACTTGGTCGGATTGTCCGTCGCAGTGCTCACGACGTTTCAATTCAAGCTCGGGTTCCGCGGGCTGTGGTTCGGCCTACTGGCGTCCCAGATCTCTTGTGTGTGCTTAATGACTTACACATTGATTCAGACGGATTGGAAGCATCAGGTCAAGAGGGCTGACGAGCTGACCATGGTCCCTGACGCTGGAGACCAGAATGATTTAGAGTCTGGCCTGCTCTCTGATCAGTGATTAAATTGCAACAAAAGAAAAAAAAAACAGAAAGACAAGATTGTTGACAAGATTTTCGAGAAATATCTTGGTACATAGTAATATGACCTCTAAGCCCATTGGATCGTTATCTTTAGAAGTTGGAAGATACCTAGATCGTTTTAATCAACCTCATTCATTTAGAAAAAAAACCCTGACACTACTCTTGTTAACTCTAGTGTGTAATAACCGAGTAAAATTCCATGTCCTATGTATATCTATATCCAAAATAAGAGGTCCATTTTAGAAAATCCACTCAAATTAAGGAATACCTCAAACTGGAAAACCTACTTAGATCGAGTTTTTTTTATCGATTCAGACTTGAGACATGTTCTACCGTGAAACCTTATAAATCAGGAAGGAAATGCCAGAGACAACTATTAGTGCCACGAAGATAGTTGAAGCAACAAAGTAGCATGTGGAAGAGGAAGAAAAGGTGAAATATTTTTAACTTCGTTCCGAACGTTTGTTCTTTTATCGGTTTATTTACGGTGTGGAGAGAACGGAAAGAAGGTCTCAAAACGTCACATGAGGGAAAGAAAACGCCAAACGGAAGCAAAAACTGGTCAATGATTCAACTTTACCTCTGTAGATGTAAGCCTACGTGGGTCGAATGTCACCGACGTTCAAAGAATCAAGATTTCGGTCGTCATCAGTTCAAATTAGCTTAATCAATACATCATTAATGCACATAAACTCAATACGTATAGATTTGAACTTACTTTTCAACCTTCTAAAGCAACTAAATGGATAAAAAAACACTAAAGGAAATTCCAAATAAGATTCCGAAGTGCCATCGTTTTATCAAAAAATGACCAAAAATAGATTTTATCTCAAATAATGACCCGAAATAATCATTTAGTCTCAAATAAGGGCCTTACTCGCCGGCCGGCGAACAGATGCATCTCCCGTGCATACTCCGGTAGACGGTCAAGGGTATTAAAGATATATATTTCTTTCTCTTCTACTCCGTTCATCTTCTTCTTGATCCGAGCCTTGGTGTCCCTGTTCATCATCTTCTTCGTCAATATTGAAGATAGGCATTGCCCAGATCAAGAACGCGGTAATTGGGGGGCACCATTTTCTGTGTTCTCTCGGGCAGACAGAGAGAGACATCTACCTACGACTGTGGTGTAAGTATGAGCAGCAAATTAGAAGTTTCTGTGAGATGAAAGGCAAAATTAAGGCTCACCAATTTTTGGGTAAGGATTGTTTCAAATAGGCACATGAGAAACGCAAAATATGACATCTCCCTCGTTTTTCGTAGTGTTTTACGTATCCATCGACACTCATCCTTAACGCGAAAGATTCTGAATTAAGCAGAGCTTTCAGCGCGAGCGCAAATGTAAGAGACGGCCATGGTGTCTGTGAAGGGGTTGAATCTGAGGTCGCACAGGAGAGAATGCCCCCTACTGTACCACGGTGAAGCAAAATTGGGGAGGAAGAAGATCCATGGCCTAGAACTAGAAGAAGAAGAAGATGAGTAGAAGGGAAAAAAGTAAGAAAAAGTATGGGAGTGACGCGGCCAAAGCTTTTCCTTCTTTGCGACCACCAAGTCCACTCCGCCAACCTCCTCTCTCGCAAGCACCTCCGCTCCCAGATATGCGACAACTGCGCCTCCGCCCCTGCCTCCGCTCGCTGCTTCACCGACAACCTCATCCTCTGCCAGGATTGCGACTGGGACGCCCACGTCGCCTTTCCCGTCCCCTCCTCCCACCATCGCTCCCCGATTGACGGCTTCTCCAGCTGCCCCTCCACCCTCGAGCTCGCCTCCCTCTAGGGCCTCGATTTGGACGACATTAATCTAATGCCTAACGAAGATCTTTTTTCTTTTTTTGGTCAAACGAAGAAGAAGATGAACAGGAATAAGAGTGAAAAATAAATAAATAAAATGCCTTTGGACGAAAATACCCCTACCGGCTGCCGGAATACGCACGGGAGATGCATCGGTTCACCGGCCGGCGAGTCAGGCCCTTATTTGAGACTAAATGACTACTTCGGATCCTTATTTGAGACAAAGTTCACTTCGAGTCCTCTTTTGAGAATACGATAGCACTTTAGGCCCCTATTTGAAATTTTCCCAAAAACTAATAATTACTAACAGGTACAAACTTATATTCTACTATAAAAGGTTAATTTCTTATACCGTTTTTCATGAACATATAACTCTCATTCTTATCTTGCAAAGTTACTGACAATGTCACTATATTTGAAAAAGGGGGACATGAACAATGAGAGAAAGAAAACATTGGAAATTTGACATTCGCTGGAGAAAATTGGGGGTAATTGAAGGAGTCTCGATCTCTTAGTAATGCCACTCCAGCCGTTTCACCGCTGCTGAAGGGGCCTGGACCTTGGGCGGCGAGAGTGAGTCTCGCATCAAGCGGTCCTCACCTAGTCTGGTGGGGGGGAAAAGTCGGTATTGCGATGGCAAGTGACGACAGGGACGTGGCTGGGGCGGGGCACTAGACAAAAAGGGGAGGGAGGAGGGAGTGAATGAGTTTTTGGGGGTTTTGGTGTGGGTGCGATTTCCTCCAAAAAGTGAGGCCAATCTGATAAATTTAGGGTATTCTCGAGCAATGTCGGCGAACTTAAGCCCTCGTAACTCTGATTCCTAACTAGCAAATCTTTCGAGGAGGTATATCCACCATGCAAAACTACCCCTAATTAAACTCCGAAGATCTCAATCCCAAATAAAAAATTCGCTAAAAGAGGCAATACGACGTCTTTACCATTCAACCCCGCTCCTCTCAATATACACGAGCATTGAAGACCCAATACGTATGTCCTCAATATAATCGAGCAGCTAATTTACAAGCAACTGATCACGAGAAATCCATCGCATCCTCGCCGTGCCCCGAAGGGGCAGTTTAGGAAATTCGGAAGCGAGAGACCCAAAAAAAAGAAAAATCAAATGGGGATCGATAACATCGACACGTCCAACATCCCAATCGCTCTGCCCCAACGCAGAAGCAATCCGAGGAAAAACATTGACTAAGGTCGGAATTTCCAAAAGCAAAACTCCCCTCTCACTTTCACGAATGCAACGATTACCCCCACATCACGAGCAGAATTCCATCCGGGCCGCTCGAGAAATCCAACGGCTCATATCCCCGAGCGCGCGCGATAGGGAGGGGAGCGCTGACCCCAGCGATTTTCCGGGAAAAAGAGGCAGCGAGAAAAGGGGAGAGAAAACGCGAGAAAATTTTCGGGGAGACTGACAAGTCAATGCCGCCGTGTGGTGGACGATATAAACAGCAGGAAAGGGATGAGAGAGAAAGCTCCCGCATTCTAGAGAGAGAGATCGCAGGCTGATTCGCAGCTCATCTTAATGGACATAGAATGAGACACTATCGTAACGTGATAGAGGATATTCATCCTTGATTATCTTTTTACGAAGATAAACTCCATGTGTTTGTAAAAGTCCTATGGTATTTTGAGGATAACAAAACATTAAGTATACTAATATATGAAATTATGCTTGTAGAGTATACTGTCTCTACATAGGCATATACAGATGATGTTAGCAAAAAAACATCCAAGTGTGGAAGGACCTTTGTTCTACAAAGGGTGAACGGTATATTGAATGTGAAATATGTTGATGAATGGACAGACCTTGCAAAGGACAAACAAGTTACTCCACGTGAGAGAGGCCAATATTTGGAAAAACTTGTGGTTAGTGAACAAGTTAGAGGACGTATGATTGTCAAAAAGTTTGGATGGAGCAATAGAAGGTAAACGAACTGAGGACCTCCAGACGTCAATTAGTTTGGATGGCCCTTGCGGACAAACAACAAATTGGAGGACATGTAATGGTCGAAGAGTTTAAATGGACCAAGTAAATGATGAACAGTCAATATGTTCGGGGTACCTTTAGTGTAGAAGGAAAACAAGTTTTGGATATATATGACTCCAAAATGTGTTCTTGCTACAAAATGAGTATTGGTTCTACTACAAGGCTCTACAATCCTGATTGCAGACCCTCAGCAGCCCCACGACACACATCGGTGAGGACCACAGAAACCTCCTCAAGTTAGTGGTGAGGTAGCGGCCCTCGCCAACAAAACTCACTGACCAGATATGCACGCACAATCACATTCCCTCGTGCATCTCCTTTTCCTTTCGACCCTCTTCAAAACTTGTGTTTTGGTATTGCATATGAATTTTGCATATTATCGGTGGTGATTAGACTTGTCAAATAGGTAGGTCAAGCTATATCGAAAATAGTCCAAACCCGTTTTAATCCATTTTCATATAATACAAATCTAGTGACCTATACCCAATCCAACTCATACGATACCCGACCCATATTGCTAAAACAAGAGCAAGTGAGCGTAAGATCGAGTGAGGGCGAGTGAGAGTGAAGAGAGAGTCACGGAGGTACGTTGGGTCTAAGTAAGTTGTGAAATCATTTAACACCTATATTAAACCCATTTATGACTCATTTGTTGAATATAACCTATACAAATAACCCAGCCCATCAAATATGAATTAAGACATGGGTGTATGACCCAATTTAACAGGTCTAGCTGTGATTAGCAGCAAGGGGAATAGCTTGATTCGTTGAATATGAGAGCCCCGCCAAGTCGTCATTTACTTGTGGGTTTAGATTGCCTTGGGGTTTTATCATTGCAATGGGCAAGAAGAATCAAGATGCAGAGCTTGATCTTCTTTCTTCTCTCTCTCGAATTCGCAATCTTTTCTATTTCCTTTCCACGTCAGAAATGAGGCACTGATTCGGATGATCACGCGAACAGTTTTGTTTAAACATACAACGGAAGGACCAACTTGAACAAAACAAATATATAATTCGAGAACTTAATTGCACAGATGGAAATAAAAAAAAACACGGGGATCCACGGTGACTTTATCTGAAAAAGTTCAAGCTCAATATCTCGATGCATTAGTTCTGTGATCGACGCGTAGAATATGTTCTTTCTGACCTACCCGAGAGCTGTTCCTCCTCGGTTCCATACTCTGCA